CTTGTAGATTAGAATTCAGTCTTAATTGAACAACTACCGTATTAAGGGCGGTAGTACGAAGCTAATCTGGTAACATCTCCCCGGTCGGAAGAACACCCCTACGCGACAGATTAATTGCTCTCCCAAACCCCAGACCATCCGACCGTAACAATATGGCCGTTTGCTTCCTTGTGAGATCTGTCCTGGACTATATGACAGAAAATGCCAATCCCTCCCAGTTGTGACAATACCATAGTGATAGTCAAAATTGTCATTGGAAAATGCATCATTAGCTTTTCGTTTTTTCTTGTTTGTTTCGAACGAGCTCTCCAATTGCGCGATATTTTGCGCGTACCTCATTGGGACTTTGTGCTGTTTATCCTCGGTGATACAAATCAAATCCTCGAAGGCAATCCATAAACGTTTTTTCTTATCGCCTGTGGATGTTGAATCAACCTTGCTAATTATGTCGGTATCAACTAATATGAGAAAATCAGAGGGAATATCGAGTATCTCGTATGTGCAGGTATTATTAGATCTAGTTTCTCTAATTAACGCTTCTATTAATAACTTAGCTGAAACCTTCAATTTTTTGACGTTACAATACGGTATCGTAAAGTTATCCCATACCGCTTCGTTACTGCTTTGTTACCTCAATGGTATCGTAGCGTTACCTCGTTAATGTATCGTTGATTTCAATGTTAACGAAGTGGTAACGTATCATTAACACGTAACGCAGTGTTACTGCCATCAATGCTGTCGCGACAAATTATTCATTCATAAACTTAGACATTACCGTTTCGTTAGCGCTACAATACCGTACCTGTTCTAATGTCACCGTAACGTTAACATCAATTATAGTTTGTCAAAAGCGCAATATTCCAAACCCCATTTTCTTGCCATCTATCGAAATTATAGGCCATATAGGCAATTAACAAGTGACTAAATATTTATATGAAAATGCACCCAATTTTTTATATATAGGAGAAAAGATGCTTCAAACATGCATAATTAATAGATGCTTGTTATATTTTATTAGTTCTAACATCAAGAATATTTCGTGCGAGAAAGCTATTACAGCGAAATTTTAGTCTTGCACGACTTTGAGCAATTAATTTTATAATAAAATCTTAGGACAAACTCTTGTAACAAAGTATCGAATTCCTACACTGAAAGTTCTTCTGGCATTCCGTTTAATTTGTATATGAAACACAGTGCTGATATTAAGCCGTCTTATACATTCTCAGTTCACTCCTTTGTACAATGCATCGGTCTAATAATGACATGACACATAGAGTTATTAGGCATTTAAGAACATGGTCTTCCATTCTCCTCTAAACCCTCTAGAGAGTAACAAAGTAAAGATGACTAGTTTAGTATGGTCAATGAAATGCGTACTGTACTAATTTTTTTGCTGGTTTTTAACTTTCGACTGTAAACACATAAAATTCTTTTATTCCCAACATCCAATTCATACATCCCTGATTAGAATGAAACATAACAATAATCAATGCAACTAACAAAGAGAAATGCTAGTGAAATTTACAAAGTCGTAAAAGAATATATTTCTGCTTGTACTGCAGCCCCGAAAATAAATATAAACAACATGACAAGACCCAAAAAAATAAATTCAATTTCATTATATGGATAGTATGGATGGTAACCCAACAAATGAAATCTAAATGCGTTATCTGGATGGTAATTTAGTAGTCCACGAAAAAGCATGATGAAACCCAAAATGCCGAGTGATATGAAAAAACCCCGAATAATTAAAAGATAGCCAAGTGCATGAGGGTTGTCTTAAGGATAATTTAGTGAAAAAATGGAAAATAAAAATAGATAATATTGTTAAAAAAGTATTCAATAGAAATATTGATTATTAGTATATAAACAGACTTTACCTGGTTCTACGGCTTTGGCAATTGCTTCGTCTATATCACTGGAGAATCCAATGGAACTGTTTTCGGATAATCCACCAACATGGATTTCATTTGTAAACCAAACACCGATAACTGCAATAACTGCGGGATCATCAGCGAAGTGCTCAAGGAACATGGTTTTATACTCAGCAGCCTGTCTTTTTACATCACGACGCTTTTCATAACTGTTGTATGAATTGATGACTTTCGTCTCGACAACCGCAAAGATTCCCTTTCCGTTCGTAAGAATAATGTCACTTCTCCCCATGTCCGGACGATTCGGAACTGGATGCCAGTCATATTTATATAAGAGCTTAAAGCCTAGTAGCCAATTTTTTGGAAAGAGGCGTTCGAAATTTTGGACAAGTTTATTTTGCAAATTGGCTTCATGTTTATTCATGAGATTCTGGGAAGAGTTAAAGGATACCCATCCAGTTCTGTTGGTGTAATTAGTAGAGACCATTTCCGAAGTGAAGTAAGAAGGATATACACGGAAAAGTGCTACTACAATTGACTTTATTATTTTATTGGTATCTTTCTGGTCCCAAGAATACTCTCCATGTAGGCCATGAAGTGGAGCTCTAATATATTCCGGAAAGAAATATTTATCTGCATGCAACCATTTAGGTACATCAGAGAAGAAAAAGGAAGTTTTCCCTTCATTTAGTGCTTTGAAAAATAACTTGCAACGGTGAAGAAATAGTTCTGTAGAATTAGAATTCATTGTTGTAAAACAAAGACGAGGTGTTCTCCATCGTTATCTATATCTAGGACTAATACCGAATCAGATTGTAACACTAAATCTCAGTTTGACGACCGTCCCGATTGTCGGGTATACTTTATTGCATTCCTGCAAAACAGGCTTGCTAAAGCTAGTTTTAACTTATCTAAAAGACAGAGGTGCAATAAAGAAGTGGCCGGCATGGAGGCTTACATATATGAAGACTGATTTATAAGATTTCAATTGGAAAATATGAGAGATGTAATATATGATGGAGAGGGCCAGTGAGGGAGGAAAGAGTGTAAATTTCTGTATTTAATGAGAAAATATATGAAGTTACGGTCGGAAATTAAATGGGGGTTTGGGAGAGCGATTTATCTTTCGCGCAGGTGTGTTCGCCGACCGGGGGATGTTACCAGGTTTGAATTAAGCCTCAAGTGACCTATTTTAATTATGCGCGCTTCTCACTCCCTGTCCGAGTTCAAACACTTGTGAATACAAATAAGGGTACCTCTAATAGAATTAAAGAATCGAAGGGGAATAATACTATTTATAAAATTAAACAGGGCTATCTTCGATTTGTTTGTCGACTAGTCAATATCTGCCACTTGAACTAATCAAACAATAATTGTCTCGATAACTAATTATAACCAGCTTGATCATTCCGTTACGGGTTAAGTGAGCCGTTTATTGGAGTGTCAGGCCTAATAATCAATTGTTTCGACGATAGAAATTGATAATAAAGGAGTTTGGGAGAATACTACTAAGATCAGTAGTATTCATTTATTTCAATAACAACTTTCACGTTTGATGTTCACAACATGAGGATTTGACGATGGAAATTGAGCTACTTGTAACCTTTTAGCGTCGCAGAAAAAGTGAAACGCTTTTAAACTACTAATTCTATTGAATAAAGTATAAATTAATTATGGCATTTGTGCTGTCGCAGATTTTTCAAAACGTTTTTGCTATTACTGTGCCTGTCGTTGAAATTTCGAAACGCCGTTACTAAATTTAACTTTTGTATAAATATTCGATGTCAATCAGGAAGATTTACCATGTGACTTACTTATCTGATTTATCAGATCAGCTTGCTGTAACAAAAAACAAAGCAAGTGTCGTGCCGACTACTGCGGGAGAGCAGAAAGTAATCGACACTTGGGATTTAACTAGTCTCGACGGAGCGTGG